AGGGGCAGAACCTTAGGTTTTCACCAGGGTGGGGCATACCTCATCACTGTGTTATGACGTTGTATGTGGGGAAGGGATCCAAGAGGGAACAGTGCCACTTGCTCTCTCTCAGACAGTTTTCAGTCACTTTTTCCACTACCCGCAATCAAATTGGGCCCTCCTGGTGCTGATTCCTGTGTGGGTGGGTTTGTGTACATTCTAGAACCCTGTGGGTCTCTCCAGTGAACTCTACTGTGAGGCTAAGAGTTTCTCCCACTGCCAGCTCAACCCCCACAGGTGTTTTCAGTCAGAGGCTTTGAGGCTTTATTTCCTCAGGCTGGAACCCTGGGTTACTTGCTCCCCAGTTGTTCCTCCTGGTTTATTTGCAAGCGAATATGGGTCCTCCCAGTCCACAAGCAGCCGCTCCACCCGGTCCTCCAGCTGCCCCCTTGCCGCTAATTCTCTCTACCTGGCTGCCCGTCTTTACCCCTCCAACCAGTCGGGATGAATGTTTCTTCTTTAACTCCTTGCTTGTGGGACTTCCATACAGTTCAATTTTATGTCAGTTCTGGGTTTTTCTTTGTTTTTAAATTTGTTGTTTTTCTTTTGGTTGTGCGAGGAGGCACAGTATGTCTACCTATGCCTCCATCCTGGCTGGAAGTCACCTTTATTTTTTTGGAAGTTGTGAATAGGATTGTTTTCTTAGCCAAGATGATCCATTTAAAATGTTAAATCTCCTTTCTTCTTGGAAACTTCCAGAGAAGAATAAACTTCCTCACAATAAAATATGCCATCCTTAAAAAAAAACTATATACGATTTGTTGCCCCAACCACCACCAATGTGCACACAGGTATGTACACATACACACCCCCACCCCTCTTACCTGCTCACTGACCCCTTCCTCTGATTTGTTTTCCTGTACCTCCCTGCTTCCAGGCAGCGTCTGTTCTCAGAGCCTCGGTACTCATGGTTCTCCCTGCCTGAAATGCTCTTTATATTTTTACATGGCTTGTTCTCCACTCAGGTCTCTGGGTAAAGCTTACCTTGTTTACCACAGCCTTCCCTGACTAGTGTCTAAAACAGCACCACTATGACCCCTTAGAGGTTTATATTTCTTAATAACATCACCTAACCTATGCTTGTTTGTTTCTTGTCTTCCCCATTGGGATGGAGTCTTCATGACAGCAAAGACAATTTCTGTGGGTCTGTGTCCTATCCCACAAGGTCCTCAAACAATGCCGAGTACAGCCCTGACCTGTGTGGCACAGTTGCTTGGGTGTCATCCCACAAGCAAAATGTCACCCATTTGATTCCCAGTCAAGGCAACATGCCTGGGTTGCAGGTTTGGTCCCAGGTCGGGGTGCACAGAAAAGACAACCAATTGATGTTTCTCTCTAACATCAGTCTTCTCACTAGCCTTTGGGAATTGCAGCTATGTTAGCCTCTCTTCCTCCCTGTTCTCCCTTCTCAAAATAAGTGAATCTCTAAAAAAACACACAAAACCATACCTGGTACAGAGTTCAGTGATTCTGCTGGACTCTGCTCAGTTACCAGTTCCTTGCTCCTTTAGGACAGAAGTTAATTAACTCTGCTGGGTATCAGAATCACCGAGGTGCTTGCCTAAAATGCACATGCCCTGATGACCCACCCCCAGTGGTGCAAACACAGTAGATTTTGGGAGAGAATCCAGAACATTTTTGAACAAGCCCCCCCACTTGATTTTGATGCCTGAGATAACAACTACACGTTGCAAAAGTTGCCTCAGTGTACCAGCTTGCATTTGTTTATGTTTCTCTGCTCTGTTGAGTATTGTTTCATGTGTGCCAGCAGTTCTTGAATTACCTGGGAACCTACATATAGATCTCCTAGCCCCACCCCAGATTTTGTGAATCAGAAGTTGCAGGGATGGGGCCTGGGAATGTATACTTTTAAAAACCTCCTTCAGTGCTTCTAATACTGACTCTCTGATAGCCAGTCTTCTCACTAGCCTTTGGGATTCCCAGCTATGTTTTATAGACTCCTTGAAGAGGCAATAAACTCAAGAGCTGGTGCTTTTATGTCTTTCTAGGCCAGCTTCTCTTCCTATCCCACATTAATCCAACAGTGTTCTGTTAAAAAAAAAAACATATCCAATAAGTCACTATGGACTTAATGCCTGGATTTATCCACAACTTCAACTTGCCTTCATAACTTGAATATTAACCAGTATGTATAACTACATTTCAGTCTAGCTCATTCTCTGACTAGAGGCAGGAAGTGAGTCTTAGTTGCCCAGCTAATTCTGGTGATGGCTCTCTTTACAGTCCCTTCTGTCCAGAAATTTAAAATGTGTTTCCCATGTCAGACCAAATACCATTGGGGAAATGTTAGCCATCATCATACTCAGACTCTAACCTACTCGACCTCCTCCTTAGACCTGTACTGGGGCACATGTGCTTTGGCTGTCCTCAACACAGGGTACCCGCGTGGTCTCCAGAGCATCCTCAGAGGTGGGGATAAGGCTTGATGCCTTGTCTGGCAGCCTGTCTGGTTTGCTCAAGCTGCCAAGGAGGGTATCCCTCTAGATGAGATTCCTTCTGGGGCTGGTGACCTTGCCTTATTTCTGTTCTGTTCTATCCTGGAATTATATCTAGACACTTTTTACAAGTGGAAAGTTTTATAACTAAAATCCTCAAAGTATTACCAAAAATAAAAATTAATAAATTGGAGGGTGGGGCAGGTGACCAGGAAATTATATTTGCAGAATTTTAGTCCTTGGCAGACTCAGAGCTAGCTTCCAGGTTGTCAAGAATCATTTATGTAGGCCCAAAAAGGTCATCTTGATTAACCTATTTCTTAAATATCCATGGGCTGCTCACTCTGGACGTTGGATGGCCAACTGGTAGCCTTTTCATTATGTTGAGTTTTTCTGTATCTTTGCAGAAGATATCAGGGCAGAATCTAAAAACCAGTAGTGTCATCCAGGTATGTTGGAGAGACACTTGAAACCCCAGCACACACTGTCTGCACCTGAGAGTTTTGCCTCTGGATAAGCCATGGATTTGCATTTTGATATCATATGTGAGAAGCCATTAGTAATCAGGACAACTCCCTTAGGAAATTCCATTCCCAGGTGGAAGCTGCTTCCTCTGGAGAACTTGTTTGGGGGGCACCAGAGGCTGTGATTTAGCAACAAAGGGTACTGAATTGACCCTAGAAATATAAGAATGAGAGATTTCTAATGAGATCTGACAGTTCAAGGGCTGAAGAAGGAGTCTAATCTTTTTTTTTTCCTGCCCACCCAGTCTCCATACAAATGTAAATATGCCTCCTTCAACAAATTGCCAAATGTGGTTTTAATTTGTGAGTAGGAGACCCTGCGTTGCCTTTTTTCTCTTTTCTTTTTCTTTTTTTTGAAAATGAAGGCACAGGTTTTGCACTTTTTGAACTGGACATTTCTTTCTGTCACTCCATCACATTTTCTGTTGTCCTTTTTCCTCCAAAGACCTTTTGCCCCATTGTTTGTTGTCAGAGGAATTTGGGATGAGAGTGGATCAGCCTGTGTCTTAAAGAAGTTTTTGAAGTTCCCATAGGAAATACATAGTACTCTTTGAGTTTAAAAATAAATAAATAAGGGTCTTGATTGAATCCAGTATGAGATTAGAAGTGTCACTATCACGGCATCCTACTCTCTGTGGTCTCCACAGCATCCATTGTTATTTATGACCCTGTCTGCCTTCCATTGTGGACTTCTTCCAGCCTTGGGGAATTTACATCATTCCTAATAGCAAAAGGCTTTCTGGTTCCCACAGAGTTGTTCAAAGCCTGACTCATGCTCCTTATGTTAATTGTTCAGCTCTGAAAATACAGCACTTACAGGGTGTGGTTGTGAGGGGGAAATCTACTGTACTTATAGGGCATGTTTAGAAGTGTTTCACACATAAATCTCAACCTCTCTCAATCGTTCTCATTTAACTTTTCAACTGTGACTCTTTTTGGTCAACTAGTAAGTCTTATAAAGGGGGGAAGGGAGAAGCATCAAAATGCAGTATCACCCAATAAAACCTGTAACATTTCCTTCACTAACTCTTAAAACTGACGTAGGTTGTAACTGGATATGGCTTTGGGTAACACTGGTCAGTGTCTGAAACCATAGGCAGGGCAGTGATGGGATGTGGGACGCCCAGGCATACTGCTGGCTCTCCCGTGGGGCTATTGTTAGTTCCAATGTAAATCTAAAGCAACTGTTCCTGTGGCTGCAACATTTTACTGTGGAATTTGATGGAGAAAGGTACTTGGTGTCCTGGAAAATGAAAGAGGTTAACACTTTGTCTGGATTATCCATTTGCTAACAAAAAGGAAACAATTCCAAAGAATGAAATGGATCAACATTGGTGAAGGTTGGGAGATTTTTACATTTTATAATTATTTCCTAATGATGTCTTCACAAGAACATATAAGGAGAGGTAGACACATAATCTATGAATTATATAAAACCATGGTAATACTTGTTTATTTAAGAAAAAAAATTCCCATTTTTAAGTATTAGTATGAAAAGGCTTAACACTTGATGCATTATTGAGTATTGCAAAGGCCATATTCTATATTTTTGTAACAAGAGGAAATGCAGAGAATTGTGAGGATAGCCAGGGCACAGGCCACTGTACCACCAGGTCTCTGCAAGATCAAAGCTCACAAACATGCTGCTGCTTGGCTTCAAGATTCTGGGCTTTGGCACAGTCTGGAACTCAGAGATACCACACGTTGGCCAAGAGTCCCCAGGTGGTTTGGAATCACCATCCTTTCCATCACAGTCTTGTGTATGTTTGTGCTGCACATCAATGTATGAAGTGTGTGGGCTGGGACGTGACAATTTACCAAAAAGTTCTAAATTTAAAAAAATTAAAATGCCTAACACTAAGCAGTTTCATCTCGTCCTCACAAAAATAAATCTGTTCACTGGGACATTTAGAGTATCACTGTTTTGTCATGTTCAGCTCATAGATTTTTCTGTTTGAACTTTTGTTATCTTTTGGAGTAGACAGAAAGAGCTCTCCGTGGAGTGTCTGATTATTTTGCCGAGCACGCAGAGAGTCCACTTCCTCCCAGTGCAAAGCTCAAGAGAAATGCTCTGAAAGAAATGTAGGTCCAATGTGTTTCCTTTTTCTCATTTTTGACTGCCTATATGTATGGATATATAACAAGAAATCTAGAATTCAACACGAGTACATGGAACTTAATCACAACCCTCCTGGCACTGAGCCTACCTTAAGAGACATACTTGCTCTTCCACCTTCCTCTCTTTCTCTTGCTTTCTGGACAACAGGAGTCAAGCTCTTGCTTCACAGGTGTGTTGCAAGGAGCACTTAATTACAAGCACTTTGAAGATGAAAAGCACCTGTTGGTGGTGTGTTTCATACAACTTGCAGAATGACTATAGACAGATCTCAGAAAATACATTTCCTTTCTAAGACTCTTGTTCTGACCCTAACATAATTATGATAATCCTCATGCCCCAGATAGCAATAGTAAGAACATGAATCTGTGTATTTCTTTCCGGACCAACCCTTATCCAAAATAAATATTTCAGCTTCATTGTTGTGAGCTTGGTAGTTTAAGAAATTTCTTGCCATTCACAAGCCTGCAAATAAATATACACCCAAGTAAAAGTCTCTAGTTTCTAAATCTTCCCACGAAGTATTTATCCTGCCCCTCAGAGTAATTTTCAACCAGAGCGAAGTTTACATTAACTGCTATATATGCTGTAGAAAAAGGGTTTGTGTGTGTGCACGCATGTGCACATATGTACACACACTCTTGCGTCTGCCGTGTTTCTACTTTCTTTCCTTGCATACTCTGTGGGATTTTTCCCAGAATATTTCAAGTTATATTAACTGAATCCTCAATTTCCAATAGTTAGTGAACAAGGCAGACACCAACTAAATGGTGATTATATTTGAATAATACCTTGAAATGGCCTGAGAGAAATTCCAGAAGATTGTTCTTTACTTACAAATACAGATTGTGTGTATCTCTGTGCATGTTCTTGTACACATATATACAGAGACACATAAATACAGCTTCTGCTTTGGATGTATTTGAACACTTACTTCTGGGGATGAAAATCAATATATCAAGTTGACCCTTAACATCTGAAATGAATACTTGTCTGTCTTTGTTAAAATATGAACTCCACTAATATACCAGTGATCGGTAAATAAAGTGTTCCCTGGTGTATCCCAATGACTGCTATTTCTTGAACCAGTCTGCATTTAAACGTACACTCGGGTATTTTTCTAGATCTGCCAGGGAGATAGGGAAAAGGGGACGTAGTGCATGCTTTCTTATTTCAGGTGTAGGAGATGTGGTGAGGGGAATTTGGAGGAAACCATAACATTACAGCTTTACAAACAATTTTTTTTTCTTTTAGTGTGAAAAGAGCTGAAACAAAAAGCAGCATCATGAGCAAATCACAGAGCAGCAGGGACTCTGTGGGAACATCTAGTGACTCAGTGATTGCAGAGATGGCAGTGAGAAGAGGTGATAGTCCAGCTTCATCCAGTGCCCCACTGGAGGCCATGGGACAAGCAAAGGATTACATAAAGGCAGCTGAGAGCCACTGGGGGCTTCCTGCTCAAAAGCTGGAAAATGTTCATCGGGCCCAGCCAGAAGGCACTAGCAGCCAGCAAAAACCTCATCCTGGGGAGTGGTTAGAGACAGGGCTTCTAAGCGGGAGCCCTGTCTGGAGATGTGAGTCAGCATCACCATGTCCAAAACAAAGTCCACGAGGGGCCAGAACACAACAGAAACGCAGGAACTGTGGCTCTGTGGAAGACTTCGACCACCACAAGAGAGTTTCTTTTGGAAGTGATCGATTAGCCCCGAGAGAAATAATAGTGGAAAAAAGCAAAGCTGTCAGAGTTTTACCAACTTTAGAGCTGTCAGATCCGGGGTTACTTTTGAAATAAGATTTGGCAAAAACCATGTCTAATGAAGAGTTGCATGTTTTTGTATAAAGGACACATGGACAAAACCAAAGGAGGGGGGATCTAGGGTGGGAAGTGGGGATGGCTGAGATGGGGGGTGGGGGGATGGAGACAACTGTACTTGAACAACAATCAAAAATGTGGGTAAAAAAAGAGTTGCATGTTTTGGAAAATCTCTCCTCCAGACATCTTATGAAAAATAAGCCAGGGCTAGCAGAGCAAACCGGCTCAGCCACAAACACTGAAAGCTTAGCTACAATTCATGGCAGCCCAACCAAGAAAAGGAAGAAATATTAAAAAGAGGCCACTAACTTACCAAGGAGGATTGCAAAATTGAGGTTGAGAGATATAGTGGCCAAACCTATGAAAAATGAGAAGGGTGTATAGATGCTGTGATTTCAGAGGAATTAGAATGACTTTTTAATAGAAAAATATGTCTCTATGTTAGGGTTAGCTTTCAAAGCAATTGCCTTCAGGGGCACATACAAGGTCTGTCCAGAAAGTATCCATCCATGAACAATAGAGACATTTACTGAAGAAGATACAAGATATAAGAAACATTATACATAGGACAATAGTGCCTCAATCCCCTTCAAAGTAGGCACCTTGGGACCTCACACAGTTCCTGTCACCATCACCTGCCTAGTCGTATTTTCCTGAATTCGTGCATGGTCTAAAATCTCTTCCCTCCCAGGTGATTTTAGTTTTGGGAAAAGCCAGAAGTCACCCGGTGCCAAATCTGGGCTGTAGGGGGGCTGAGTCACCTGAGTGATTTGATGTTTTGCCAAAAAATTCTGCAGGAGACCTGATGCATGACCAGGCACATTGTCGTGATGAAGCTGCCAATCACCAGTTGCCCATAGCTACAGCCTTCTGAATCATCTGAATCATCCGCAGAGGAAAGTTCAAGCTTAACACAAAGTTTGGTGCAGATCCATTGCTGTACTTGCTCAGTCGTTTTGAATGTGACAGCCACAGTACACATGCTCACTCAGTGACACCCCCACTGAATAGTACAGTGAAGTCGTCATTGTTAATGCATGGGCATTCCAGTCCACTCTCCTTGGCTGTTTGTTACATTGATGTCATACAAACTGTTCTTGTTATATTAACAGTGGCTGTACTTTTTCCAGACAGACCTTGTATGCTTGTTCTAACAACATTGCTACTTTCTCATCATACTTTATAACTGTCTTCAGGAAATTATTTTAATGATAAACACCCATTCACTTTGTCAGGGACAACACCATTCATGAAGAAGTGCATGAAGAAACCAGTCACATGTCTCCTGGGCACATGTCTGTGCAGACCATGCAATGGCCATGTAAGGATTGTGCAACAGTGCTGCAGTGGAGTTGCAGGCATAAATTTGTTCTCCTGCACCAGCATCATTGTCTGAAAATGTGTTATAAATGTAGAGTTTGGGCTCCACCCCAGACCTACTGAATGAGAGTCTGGGTGATTCTGAAACACACTCAAGTTCGATACCCACCATACTGATCGGTCACTCTCTAGTGTTTATTTCCTCTAGCCTGGCTTATCAGCTGGGGCCACAGGTGGACACATACACCCTTGTGTTTCCTCAAACTTGTAAAGCATGTGAATTCAGTGTATGAGTCACTCTGTTCTGAGGTTCTTAAGTATGGTGGGCACAACACCTAGAGAGCTGTTACTTACCATAAGAACTGCAATATCTTTCACATATACCAGTAATTTGGCCCAGCACTGGAAAGCATGGCAGAGGCGTGGTCTTGCTTATAGCTCAGGCCTATCCCTGTCCCTACCTCTGAGATTTTGGTTAGATTCAGGATGGGCTAGAACCCAAGGGGAACTTGGTGGCCAGAGTTTCCAGTTTCCCATTTGAAAGGCTTCACGGGCAATTTAAATTTAAAGCAGAAGTCTTAGATTTTCAGTGTCACCCAGTGGCCTTGTCTCCAGTGGGCTTGCTGAAATGCCATGTAGTGAATCATAGCAGTGACTTATTTTGGATGGATACCCACTAAAGATTTCCTTACCTCAATTTCATTCTAAAATAGGAAGAAATCGTCTTCAAAGGCCACCCATCAATTATATCTCTGGTCAACATTGGGTGGTCCTTCCAAGTAGCACATCCCTTTTAACAAGGAAAATCAAATGTATTCCCGAAAGTGCTGAAGTTAACAGACAAATAACCCAGAAAAAGCCCAACAAAATATTAGAATATGGAAACTGTAAGCTCATACTTAAGACTAATGAGTGGTTTCTCCCACCTCATTCTGTCCTTCCCCATGTCTCCTTCCCCTACTTGTATTGTAGTGTAAGACTCATTAAGCAGCAGCCATATTCCATGGCAGCATTTTAGGTCATTAAGTTCAGTCTTGGTCACCACACCTGCCCATGAATGTACATACTATTCCTTTGATGCTCCAAACCTTGCCTGCAAACTTGTCCCCTTCCTATGGTCCCAGTCTCACCACCCCAACTAGGAACATGGCTTTGCCCACTGGTATCATTTCCTCTTCCCTCTTAGCTTTTTTCTTGCCTCCAACTGATTCCAGTGAAAATATTCCTATAGGAGAAGTGGGAGCCCAACAGAATTCTGCTCACTCAGTAGGGGTCGACCACACAGAATGGAAACCTGAGGAAGTGGTAGAACATGGATTTCTACGGCCCATCCAGGCCCCACTCTTAGAGTGGACAGTATTCTAGGTGTGCTCTTCACTGAAGACAGGGCCACAGTATGTCATCAGATCTTAAACAGAAACAGTTTAAACACAAATAACTGCAGATAAGCCAAGAAACAATACGTTTCCTGGAAGAGTCTAGAATAAAGACAGCCATTCCAGAGCAATAGCTGCTGCCTGCTGCAGAACTAGAAGGTGAGGTTTGAACAGGAAGGCAACAGGGGAAGGTTGTTTTAAAGGAAGTTTTTATTTTATTAGTTAACCTGGGCCTGATGGTTAAAGCCAATTCTTATAATGATTTACTTTCAAGAAAAGTGTTGGCGTTAGAGTTTGATGTATTTGTGGAAATAGTGATTACTGTGATGTAAGAGAGAAAAATAGTACCATTGGTTGCAGATTGATACGGTCCTTCTCACAGTCATCCTGTGAGAGCACATGGGATTTTAGCAGGATTAATGGATGGAACAGCTCTCCCCTTCTGCATGTGTTGGAAGAATTTTGCCTTCCAGCATTTTCCTTCCACATGTCTGAAACACCCCTGGATCTCTTGTTATTTGAGTTGTCATGTAATTCTTTGGATATTTGGAAGTACAAAAGGGAAAATGGTTGCCGGGTAGGGTGGGTTTGTTTTTGCTTATTAGGTGGGAAATGAAGAGGTCTCTACTGCTGGAACTGGTGTATGTTTTGATATTTTAAATAATCTTAGTAATTGAGCAACTGAAAAATCTGAGATCCTGTCAATATACTTAGTCAAAAAGGAACAAGTTCTTCATCCACTTACTTAATAACCTAAAATAAATGTATAGTCAAATCCCAGTAATTCTGGTGATGCTTAGAAGAAATGTGGATCCACTTTGATTAATGTCACAACTTCAAACTCCCTAACTTTCTCAGTGTCATAGCTTCTAAGTCACTTCTGTGGGCTTTCAAATGACTTTTTAATAGATTGGGTTTTGCTATGCTATGTTTGTTCATTTTTTGTCTTTTAACCAGAAATGTCTGAGAACAGTCAGTGTGATTTTTCTTACACATTTTTCTTTCCTTTGCCACTGGAGGTTAACTGTCATCCAGTTATGCATATAAATTGTGAAATGCAAAGGAGCAAACATTTGGTGAGAGAGGAGCGAGTGCTGCAGCTTTTTTGTTCACTTATTTACTGTGGAAAAAATAGAAAAATATTTCTCATTTTATAAAAAGCAAGAGTCACAAAAGCCGTCTATAGTTTGAATTATGGAGAATATAGTTACTCTGAATGAGATATCTCAAGATGGATTTGGGGGACAATAGTGAGATCACAAGTGTTTGCTTCTGGTGTCAAGTTTGGACTTCACATGAATTGTTGTACATATCGGTGGCCTTTGATCTCAGAGAGAGCTTGGAGGGCAGAGCAGGGAAGGAAAGGAAACTCTGTGCCAGGAAAATGGCCTGGGACCACTGTGTCCCTGTCCTTAGCTTCCTTGAGTTCCTCTTGGCAGGCCCCACTATAATGTTCCCACAAAATTCCAGTGAGTGGCCCTCCTTCTGAGGTAGCAAATGGCTTTCCTAACCACCAAAAATTCCCTTTTCAGCATGCTGTGACTTGAATGTGGAAGTCATTTAGACTTCTTTTTGTCTCCTTTGAGGAAATGTCCATGCTTGGTAAGACGAGAGAGTTCATTCCTTTTTATGGAAACAGTAATGAATTGAAACACGTGGGAGCAAGTAAAAAATCAAAATTAAGCTGATTTCTGGTAAATGGTTTAAAGCCTTCCTTAGTACAAAATAAATTAAGCATTGTAAAATGAAGTTAATTCAGCTAATTACTCAGAACACAAGTCTAACCATCTATATTATTGGTATTACAACTTAGTGATATAATGAAATCCTCAGAAATCTGCTGAACTCCCTCTAATTTGGTTTCTGTATGTAACTAGACAAGGACCAACTGTCAGTGTGTAGCTTAACAGAGGTGACTTGAATGTGGGAAATTATTGCTTTTAATTGTCAAGAACTACTCAGTACTGGGCTTGAAATTATTTGCATTTAGATACAATAAGTGTCATTCTGCAGCATAATATTACCACGTGTTACCTTATAATTGTCATCACAGTTACTTATCAAATATCAATAAAACCATATGTTTGACCCCAAAGCATCTGATCAGGAGACTGCAGGTGTGGATTTGTCAGATCCCCAGAATAACCCTCTTCAGTCAAGTTGGAAAGCCAGCCCTGCCGGTGTGGCTCGGGTGGTTGGAGCTTGGCCCTGTGCACAGAAAGCTCACCGGCTCAGTCCCCAGGCAGGCTACAGACCTAGGCGGCAGTTTCGATCCCCTGTCTGCCCCGTACCAAGAGGCAACCAGTTGACGTCTGTCTGTCTCTCTACTTTCCCTCCCTCCAT